CTCAGCTTGCACAAACCCAGTTGTCCAAACCAAATTTATAGAGATTGTTAACAAAACAACCATTTTCTCTACCTTCCCCACTTCTTTTCCTTCTCTAGAAATTGTTTTCTTCATTCATGAAGTCACAATCTTGGCAGTAGTCCAAGCCAATGACAATGACAATGGCTGTCATCTTCCTGTCTCCCTCACCCACCATGTCCAGCTGGCCATCAGAGCCTGACAGTGGAATCTACAGCTTCCCTCCATTCTGCTCTGTCCTGCATGGTCCCACTGTATCTCAGGGTGGGTTTTAGCATCATGTGGGCCTGGATTCTAATCTTATGATGCCATCAGCTTGCTAGGACTGCTCTTGGCCAAGTTAGTTAACATCTGTGGCCTCAGGTTTTTGTGGAACTTACATGAGATGTTATGTGAAAAATGACCATACACATTACAAACATCCCCTGCATGGCTTCCTCTGGGTCTTACCCCAGCTGGTGCAATGCAGTCTCCACCTGATTGGCCTGTTCTTGTCCTTTCTTCTCCAACTTGCCCTAGAGTTAATCTTTCTAGAAAATAAGTCTAAAACATCCATCCCTGCAATGGTTACTCTGGGTTGTCTGGGTATGTTGATGAGGGTGTGTCTAGGAATGACAGGGACAGCAAACTGAGGTGCGGACCCAGGGACCCCACCATAAATGTGGGCAGTACAGTCTAATAGGTTGGGGGCCTGGAGTGGAACAAAAAGGTGGAGGAACAAGGAAGCAGGAGCAGATGGGAGCCAGAGTCTTCCTGAGAGGGCTCTTGATTGCTGCTGCCATCATGGGGGGGACAGCAGACTCCGGCTCCTTCACTCTTCCAAAGTGGACTCTAGCAACTCTCCAGGGAGCTGTCAGGCCTTCAGTCCTGGAAGGGGCTGCATCCGCGGTTCTCCTCCCTCTGAGGCTCCAGGCTCCTGGACTGCACCGCTACTGGTCCTGCAGCTCTCCAGCCTGCAGACGGCCATCGCAGGACTATCCAGCTTCTGGGCCAGTCTAAGAAATGCTTTTTTTGTAATCATACATATGTATATTCTGTCGATTCTGTTCCTCTAGAGAACTTTGAAAATCTTCAACATTTTCTTTTTTCCAGTGGAACAAAGTCCCAATGCCTTGACATAATAAGTGATCAATTCCAGCTGCCTTTCTGGTCCCTTCTTCCCCAGCCTAGTTACTCCAAAACCTAAGGCTGTCCCAGCCCGTTCACTTCCACTGCCTTAATCTCACATGCTGATCCCTCTGGCTGTCATGTCCTTCCCCATATCCAAGCTCTGTCCAGCTGGCAAGCTTCTTTATCCCTCAAGACTAGTTCAAAAGCTGCCGCTTAAAGGGCGACACTATTCTTGACTGGTTCAGGTTTTCACAAAACCCCCCTCTCCATATACTCATATGTAAAGGAAGAGAGGGAGGATCAATGACCAAACCATTGTCCATGTGCAAAAATGTTAGAAATTGGTGTCTCTGGTTAAGGATGATTTCAAATTTACAAAAAAGTTGCAAAATGCTAGGAATTCTGGCAACTGTTCTGTAAATTTGAAATAATTTCAAAAGAAAAAGCATGATGCTTTCTAATCATGAGGAAACAAACCAACCTAAGTCGAGGAACATTTACCAAACAACTGGCCTGCATTCTAGAAATTCAGTGTCCTGAAAAAAGAAAGGAAAGGAGGAAGGGAGAGGGCAGCAAGAGGCAGGAAGGCAGCTGGACTAAACAGCGCACGACCCTGGACTGGACGTCAATTTGGACAAAATGCCCTAAAATGTGAGGAACAAATGGTGAAATTTGAAAACGATCTCTTTATTGTTAAGCAATATTAAATGTTCTGAATTAAAAACTACATTGTGAGGCTGGGATTGTGGCTCAGTGTAGAGTGCTCACCTAGAATGCATGAGGCACTGGGTTCAATCCTCAACACTACATGAAAATAAAACAAAGATATCGTGCCCACCTAAAACTAGAAAATAAATATAAAAAAATACACTGTGGTTAGGAAAAAGAATGTCCTGCGTAAGAAGTCCATGCTAAAATATTTAAGGGAAAAGGATCAGGATGTTTGTAATTTTAAAAGGTTTTGGATAAATAAATATTCTCCCCTCCCCTGTGTGTGTCCAGAGAAAGAAAAATAGAGCAAAAACTATCTCTTGTGAACCTTTTTTCCACTCTTGGAATTAATTTTCCCTTCTGAAAACTATAAGCCTTTGTGAAAGAAACTGGAACTGAAACCAATGAGTGGAAAGATCATTTGTGTCCACAGAATGGAAGGATCAGTGTAGCTAAAGTGTCACACCACCTCTAGCAAAATGCCAACGATATTTTTCACAGAAATAGAAAAAAAAAGTCCTAAAATTCATATGAAACCAACAAAAGATCCCAAACAGCCAAACAATCTTGAGAAAAAAAGAACAAAGCAAGAGACATTATACAACCTAACTTCAAATATGGTACAAAGCAACAGTCATCAAAATAGCGTGGTGCTGACCTAAAGATGGACATAGGGAGCAATGGAAAGGAACAGAGGGCCCGGAAATAAGCCCACGCGTTTACAGTGATCAGCCTTCACTGGACGTGCTGAGAAAACACATAGGAAAAGAAGAGCCTCTTTGATAAATGACATTAAGAAAACTGAATATCCACTTGGAAAAGAATAAAAGCCAACTCTTATCTCATACCATATATTAAAGTAAACTAAAAATGGATTAAAGACTTAAACGCAAGACCTGAAATTTTAAAACTATTCAAAGGAAAGATAGGGGAAAGTTTCTTGACATGGGTTGGCAATGTTTTTTGGTTTTGTGTGTTTCTGTGGCGCTGAGGATCGAACCCAGGGTCTTGTGCATGCCAGGTAAGCATCCTACCAACTGAGTTATATCCCCAGCCCTGGCAATGATTTTTGGATGACCGGAATATACACAAAACAAAAGCAGCAATAGGCAAATGGGATTGTTTCAAATTGAAAAGCTTCTGCACAGCCAAAGAAACAATCAACAAAGAGACAACAATGAATGGAAGGCAATATGCAAACCATATGTCTGATGAGGGGCTAATATGCAAGACCTAGCATAGGAACTCAAACAGCTCAGTAGCATGAAAACAAACCTGTTAAAAGGAGGCAAAGGATCTGAACGGACATTTCTCAACAGAAGCCATACAAACAGCCATTGGGTATATGAAAAAATGCTCCACATCACCAATCCTCAATGCAAATTAAAATCACAATGAGATATTACCACATATCTGTCAGAAGGGCTATTATCAAAACACAAGACACAAGTGTTGGTAAGGACATGGAGAAAAGGGAACACTTACTTGTACACTACTCATGAGAATGTAAATGGATGCAGCCAATTGGAAAATGGTAGAGTTTCCTCAAGAAACTAAAGCCAGAAAACTACCATGTGATCCAATAATCCCACTTCTGAGTATTTTTGCAAGAGAAATGAAATCTGCAGCACTGTCCACATTAGCCAAGCAATCCATCCACATACGGATGCTACTGATGGATGAATGGATACAGCTAATGGAGACAGAGACACATGCATTTATACTGCAACAGTGTTCATATATATTTTATGTTGGACTGCCATTCAACATTAAAAAAGAAGGAAATCCTGACATTTGTGACAATACGAATGAACTTAAAAGACACTATGCTAAGAGAAATAAACCAGGCACAGAAAGACAAACACTGCATGATCTCACGTACATACGGAATGTAAAGAAATCGAACTCATAGAAGCAGAAAGTAGAATAATGACACCAGGGGCTGTGGGGATGCGGAGATGGCAAAAGGCACAAGGTCGCAGTGAGCATGAACTAATCCAGATCTACTGTGTAGCACAGCAACTATAGTGAAGAAGGTATCACAGGGGCTACGGCTATAGCTCAGTGGCAGAGCGCTTGCCTAGCACATATGAGGCACTGGGTTGGATCCTTAACACCGCATAAAAATAAATTAAAGCATGCTGTCCATCTACAACTACAAAAAAAATTTTTAAAGACTATTACATATTTGAAAATTGCTGAACTAGGAATATAAGTCAGTGTAGAACACATGCACAAAACCTTGGGTTCAATCCCAGTACAGAAAGAAAGGAAAAAGAAAATTGTTACACAAATAAACAAATATCTCCATCTCATCCTTAACTAGCTTGATTTAATCGTTTCAGGATATGTGTGTGTGTGTGTGTGTGTGTGTGAGTGTGTATGTATATATACACACACATACACACCCACACCTCGAAATATCATGTTATGCACTGTCACTAGATACAATTTTCATTTGTCGATTACATCTTAATTGAGCTGGAGGTACAAAAGGAATGGGGGAACCCAAGCATGGCTGTGTGCACCTGTAGTGCCAGCTACGAGGGCAGCCGAGGCAGGAGAACCATTTGAGCCCAGCCTGGGCAGCCCAGGGAGAACCCAGCTTTTCAAAAAGCAGTGGGGGAAAGGCAGTATTTCTCTGCTGTGTTTTTTTTTTAATATTAAATTTTAGTTGTAGTTGGGCACAATACCTTTATTTTATTCACATATTTTTATGTGGTGCTGAGGATTGAACCGAGGGTCTCGCACGTGCTAGACGGGCGCTCTACCACTGAGCCACAACCCCAGCCCCCTGGCTGTGCCCTTGTAGACACTTATAGTGGGGAGGGGAAACTGAAAGCACATCAAGGAGAGCGGAGGAGACCTCCAAAACGGAAAACAAGCAAAAACAACTGAACTACATGCCGGGCCCTTCTGCCCGGGCTCGTTCTCCTCAAGAACCAAGGAAAGTCCCTCCATGGTACTCACTTTTCCCTGAGCACTCTGCGCTACAGTTTGGGTGTAGAGTGTCCTATGTGTTAAAGGTTTGGTCCCCAGAATGGCACTATTGGGAGGTACTATGGACCTTTACGAGGGGCCTTGTGGGAACCCCTTAAGTCATTGGGGAAAGTCCCCAAAGGATACTGTGGGACTCCTGCCCTTTCCTCTTTCTTTTGTAGCCTGGCCATTTGCTCCCTGCCGTTGCATCTGACACGCCTACCAAAGGCCCTAAGCAACAGGTCCGGGCGATCAAGGATGGAACCTTTAACACTGTGAGCCAAAGTAAGCTTTTCTCTCTTTATAAGTTAATTGTGTCAGGTATTTTGTTATAGTAACAGACTAACAATCCTGCTTACTTGCTCTTCCTCGGGGAAGGATTATTTCTATAGTGGATGAGACCAGGTACAGAGTCACTGTGTACTCTCTTCCCAGTCTGCTTTCAATTCCTCTTAGGGAGATGTCTGCCCATTCTTCTCTCCTCCATCTGGTAGCAGGTACAGCAGTCTCCAGACACTTTGCCTAATGTCAACAAGAAACCGATGTCTCAGGGGAAAATTCCATTCATGGAAGAAGAAACGAGATGCCTGTTTTGGTCTTGGGTCCAAACCACCTCCTCCAGAGGAGCTTCAGTAGCAACAAAGCTATTTTAATCCTTGTCTGACTCCTGTGACCATCCATCTCTAGGGAAGAGAAAAGGACATGAAGGTCCCCTCAGAATCCAACAGCACTGTCCTAGCCTCTGGACGCCTGCACAAGCCCCCCTCGACTCCTGTGGTCTTGAACTCAGAGTGTGACACACAGGCACAGAGCTGCTCACAGCTATTCTTGGGGTTGTTGTTTTCTGTAACCATACAAAGAGATGTTTGAAGCTTTTCTAGTTTGTCAGAGGGCTCTGAGGCTGCGAGGAAGCAGGCTTTGCTGAGCAGAGGAGAGCTGTGTCTTTGTGCTGTACTTTGACTGCTCTGCCAGGGAGCGACATCCTGGGGAGCTGTCAAACAGCCTGCCAGCCGTGCCAGCACCAAGAGGGCAGAAACACGATTTCTAGCAATAATGATCAAAGGCTGTTTGAAATTTTCCTTTATCCTTGAAATGCCTCGTGCTGCTGAAAACCTGTTCGTTACTGCTCATTCATCTGTGGCGCGTCACCTCTGTGGCTCTGCAGCTCCAGGAGGATGCTGGCCAGTGGGAGGGCCAGGACAGTCAACAGCCGCTCCAAGGATTTAGGGCATCTTTAGAAAATCACAAAAGAAGGGGAAGCGACCAGAACTCATGGCCACCAAAGGGCCTTTGGTTTTTTAAGGTGGACGCCATGGCCTTTTGGTACTCTCACTGTGGCTGTGTCTCATGCTCCGTCTGTTTTCTCCGTCCCTATTCTTTCTCCACCAGCTTTCTCTATTACGTATCCCCATTCCTTCCAGGATCTTGGACGTTCCTCTCTCCAGCCTCCTTCCCCTTAAACAGCCCATAAACACACACAAGTTTCTTTACATGCCTGGAAGCCTCCACTGCCCTCAAATGCCCTCCTCTTCCTTCCCTCGGCAGCAGAGCCAAGAGGCCCCCAGTGCTCCCCAAAGGGGCAGTCTGCCAACCAGCAGCACCTGCATTCTGTAATGCAGGATAGCCCAGCCCCCTGGGGTGCCACTCCCTGGCAGAACAGTCCAAGCACGGCACCAAGACAGCTCTCTCCTCTGCTCACCAAAGCCTGCTTCCTCCCCCCCAAGGCTCCCCATCCCATCTCTGAGGGTGGGGCTCCAAGAACCTGTGTTCTGATGCGCTCCCCAGGTGACCCTTAAGACCCTGCACTCGGAGAAGCAGTGTCTCTCCCCCTCCCTCTGCCCTTCAGTGTTGGTATCTCCGGCTCTGTCCTAGACCCCAGCTTTCCTCATTTCCTTTTCTCTAGGAGAACTCCGCCACCCAAAGGCTGCTTCTGTTCCTTGTTTTAACATAAACAAGTCCACACCAACGATTTTCAACTTTAAGTCTCTATCCCTGGCTCTTCTCTGAGCCCAGTTGCTTTCTGGGCCCTTCTACCAACATGTTGCAGTTTTTTACATTCAGCACATCTAATGTGAACTCAGCGTCTCCTAAACCCCTCTGCATCATGGTAACAAGAGGCCGCTCAGTCCCTGTGGCACCCTGGGATCCAATGCCTCCCACTGCATTTAGGTGTCCCAGGTCACTGACGGCAGCTCCCACTGCGGGGGCTGGAATGCAGACAGAGCCACCACAGAGCTCTCCGAGGATGCCGGGCTCCCTCGCGGCTCTGTGAAAGTGTGTCCTCCAGACCCTCCCAATGCGGCCGAGTCCCTCTCAAACTCACGCTCTCATCGGAGACCCCCTGAGCTTCTGCATCCCTTCCTCTACTCTAAACCAAGTCGCATGCGTCCCAGTAGCTCCCGGTGGGCCACCCTTCGGTCCAGGTTTCAGCCACCCCGGCAAGAGTCCTTTCTAACTGCTTGAGCTACAGCTTTAAGTACTAACCCTGTGCTTCGTGACCTGCTCTGGGAAGCCCAGCCTGCTCTTACTCTATATGTTCTAATACTTAGCTGTAGATGGACACAATACCTTTATTTTATTTATTTTTATATGGTACTGAGGAACTTGGTGCCTCGCACATGGGAGGCAAGTGCTCTACCACTGAGCCCCAGCCCCAGCCTTACTTTATCTTCCTCCCACCAATATCCCACACCCTTAGAATCCGTCCCTCATATGTTCCCTAAATATCTGTATGAATGAATCAGAGGCCTCGCAGGGTTCTGTTGAGATGCAGTGCCCTCCTCGTGGGCCACATGCTAGAGCTCACCTCAGGGCCTGCTGGAAAAGCAGAGGTCTGTGGAAGGGGGCCCTGGGGGGAATCAGCACTGTCCTGTAAGGCAGCTAGACTTAAGGAGACCACTGGAGGTTCTTCAGGAAATGTGGGCTAACACCCTGAGGTGGAAGGAACTACAGCACTGGGGGCGGGGAGCCAGACCCACTGAGGGTGCGAGACCTGTTCCTGTGGTCAACAAGACTTCAGATCCCTGGGGCTCCATGCCCCCAGCTTCTTCAGTCTTCCCATAAGTCCCCATCCCAACTTCCCCCATCCCATCCTTTCCTAGCCCATGTCCTCAGTTAACAACAGATGCTCTGGGAGTTGAACTTGCCTGCGATTCGGCCACTTACAGGAGGCTCTGCGATGGATTTTCAGCAATTTCAGCCCTTTGGCTGTAGACGGTAAGGCTCTCCTCAGGGCACACACAGAAGTTTTTCTTTTAGGTCATTTATGAGGTGCTTGAGCTAGAAATTTGAATCCTTGAGCCCATGTCTTTCTTCATTCTCCTTGTCGACCGACATGATTGTATTTGTGAGTAATCTTGAGGCGTTTAAAAGTTATCATACGTTACTCAGCTCCTTGTTTCTTATGAGAGGTTGATTAGGAGTACCCAATTCAGTGTTTTGTGTATCTTTATAAGAGGTCTGTGCTACGGACTCTCTAGAAATAGTCATTAGCATATTTTAATATAATTATATCAGGGAATTCTAGAAACTCTAGAACCAATTAAGAAAATTCATCCTTAAAACTATATTCTTCTAGAACCACTCCCAAAATCTTATCAGTCAGGGTTTTCCAGAGAAACCAAATCAGAACGGGAGGAAAGAGAGAGAGAGAGAATGTGCGTGAGTGAGCTAATCTCATCCAGAAACACCCTTGCAGACACACCATGAATTAGAGATAGAATTGACTTATGTGACTGTGGAGGCCAAGTCTTCTGATCTGCCCAGGAGAGCTGGTGGTATAGCTCAGGTCCCCTACAAAGGCCTGGGAACCAAGGGAGCCAGTGAGTAAATCCAAGTCTGATGGCCAGAGAAATGAGGAGACCCGCCCCAGCTAAAGTTGGCAGACAGGAAGCAGAAAGGGCACAAGCTCCTCTTTCCTCCACCCTTTGTTCCACTCAGCCCCTCAGTGGGTCGTATGATGCCAATCCTCACTGTGGAGTCCACTGAATGAAATGCTGATCTCCTCCAGAAACACCCTCACAGACACAATCAAGACACAGTGTCCAGGGTCTGGGTGCAGCTCAGGCTTAGGGGCCAGGACTCCTTCCTCACCCAGCTTCATGCAGCCTCTGAGCCTCCTACAGCCTCGTCCTCCTTCTCAGCTGCCTTAGCCTGCTGAGGGAGCTCAGGAAAGGCTTCTGCCAAGGAAGTTTAGCAGAGACCCCCAACTTGTTACCTCACCGAGTTCTTCTTAGTTATCCATTCTCTGACCCTCGGACCTGCCCACAGGCTACAAATCCCCAGCTATCCCTCCTATATTCAGAGTTGTCTCAACCCCATCGCACTCTTCCTTGCCCACTCATGTGTGGGGACAAGTGCTCCTGAACAAGACACAGGTGAGCCCTAGAGGAGCTCACTAATCCTACCGTATCCTCTCATCCCGCAGTCCCAGAGTATCTGGGGTCCAGCCTGTTGGGGGAAGTGCCCAGGAGGCTCGACTGTGGGGACCCATTGCCAGCTAAGGAGATAAGCCAGAGAGCAGACGGCGAAGGAGAGAACTGGAATACAACTTTAAGAAAGAGCCTCCCAGACTCCCATGTGAACTACGAACTGAGCACAAGCCCCCTCATTCAAGGCCCAACAGAATGATGAAAAGGTACTTGGGGAAAGAATGAAATAATAATAGCAGTACAAAAATAAGAAGCAAGCCGAGGAGACCCTGACCCACACACACAGAGAAGGCCAGGTCTGGAGAGAAGTCCTGGAAGGTTCAATAGGGTGGCAATGGACAGGAAGTACAGGAGGGCACCTGGCCATCATGGTGACTCTGAAAGGCAGCGTTCTGAGCGCTCCCCGTGGAACACGTCTGGCTTTGCCCTCCACTACCCATGGAAAATAATCCAGAAAAGAACGCCAATAAGTGCTTGGCGATTGAGGCGTGCTTACAGAGGGGGACATCCAACAGAAGGGGGACTTTATTAGAATGTACACTGTATGATCTGGACAGAAAGGAAAGCTTTCAGAACAAAGAGCAAACAGACAAAATATGGAAATATAATGAATTACAGATAAGGCTCTGGGCTAGTCCAGGTTGTCCAGCCCTGTAACAGGGATCTCAAAAGGGGGGAAAGGAAGGTGGGGAAATCTTCAAAAATATGGGGCCCGGCAAAGTGACACATGCCTGTAGTCCCAGCTACTAGGGAGGATGGAGAAGGAGGATGACCATCCTCGGCAACATAGTGAGACCCTGTCTTGATTTTAGAGAGAGAGAGAAAGAAAAAGAGAGAGAGAGGGGGAGAGAGAGAGAGTGTGTGTGTGTGTGAGCGTGTGTGGTTATAAGCTGGAATCTGAATGTCACCCAAAGGCAGAGGCATGTGTTGAAGGCAGCAGCATCCAGAGGTGGGGCTTTTGCAAAGTGATCAGATCATCAGATCATGAGGGCTGATCTCATCAGTGGATTAATCCACTATGGGTCAATAACTGAATGGACTATTGGGAGGTGGTGGAGACTCTAGGAGATGGGGCCTGGTGGAGGAAATAGGTCACTGGGGTGTCCTGAAGGGTACATCTGGTCCCAGGCCCTTCTCACATTCTCATTCTGTCTCCCAGCTGCCATGAGGGGAGCCACTCTGCCCCACCACATGCTCCCTGCCATGATGCCACACCACGGCCTGAAACCACAGACCAAAATCAACCTCTCCTCCTGTGAGTTGCTCGTCTCGGGCATTTTGTCAGGAATAAAAAGCTGACACGTACACCCATGTGCATTTTCATCTAAATATGTACAAAAATGTACCTCAGCTAATGAGAGAACCAAGTCTTCAGATTAAAAGCTCTCAACCACATAGTGGGGTTGTGTGGGGAGCATGGGAGGATCAGACAAACTCTAGATGGGCAAAGGGGTGGGAGGGGATGGGAGGGGGCAGGGGGTGGAAAAGATGGTGGAATGAGATGGACATCACTACCTGGGGACGTGTACGTAGACACGAGTGGTAGGACATACGTTGTGTACAACCAGAAACATGGAAAACTGCTCTAGGTGTGTAATGAATTGTAATGCATTCTGCGGTCATAACAAATCAGAATAAAAATAAATAAATAAAAAGTGCTCAACTGCTGCTGTGCAGAGTGACTGAAAAAAAGACCCAACATAGTTACATTTGTGACATTTCAGAACGCCAAGAAATGTGGCGAGTTTCCAGTGAGGGGACAGAAACGCACACAAAAAGGAGAAAGAATTAAGCTGCAACAACCTTCATCCTCAGTCCTGGCTGCTGGCAGACGGATGGATGTCACCAAACCCCCGAGAGGAAGAGTATGTTGAAATCTGAGTTCTGCAGTTAAAGAATCATTGAAAAATATAATGTGTAGACCTGCAAACCCCAGAGCAGTTGGCCACCACTCGTTCTGCATCTGGAGGGAAAAAAAATCACCTCATAGACTTGTTCACACCAAAGGCAAAAAAGAACAAAAAGAAAGAACAACAAGAAAAAGGACATCCCCCTCACAAGCAACCACGGTGGGAGATGTGACAGATGAGACGCTCACTTCTCTTCCACAGATCACTGTCCCCTCCTGCCCACTGCCGCTGAGCCATCCGTCACCAGACTGGAACTCGAATCCTTGCCTCCCTTAGTCTCTCCGCCGATTCTTCCCTTTCCATCATGCCTTTGGGCTGCTTCTCTGCTAAGCCCTACTTACCCAAAGGGTTCTCTGGAAAACTGATGGTTTCCTGCTAAGGCCTTCTACTCCCCGATGCTCTGTCAACGTTTATTAGTTTAAAAATATTTTTAAATGCACTGGTTTCCATTTCTGTCAGAGTAAACAACACAGTGAAGGAAAGGCAGGATGCCACTCAACTCGGGATGGTGTCTTGTTCTACCATGGATGGGGTCACCACTGCCCCAGGCACAAATGCCACCCTGAAACCCAGAAAGACCATCAAGTGACATGTTCCTCAGGGTTACAGCCACAGCGTGGCAGCACCAGTTAGAGCCCTCCTATCTGACTCCCCCTGCTGTGAACTCAATTTTGTCCCTCAAAATTCATATATTAAGCCAGGTGAGGTAGCACATGCCGATGATCCTGATGGCTCAGGAGGATTGTAAGTTCAAAGCCAGCCTCAGCAACTCAGTGAGGTCCTAAGCAACTCAATGAGACCCTGTCTTTGAATAAAATATAAAAAAGAGCTGGGGATGTGGCTCAGTGTTTAAGTGCCCCTGGGGTTAATTGCCAGTACCAAAAAAAAAAAAAATCATATGTTGAAATCCCAACCCCAACATGACTATAGCTAGGGATTACTAAACAGCAGTTAAAAGGGTATATGAGGTCACAGGCTGGGTACTAGTCCAACAGAACTGGTCACTGATGGCTTTATAAAAAGGGGGATAGCATCTCCCCCTCCATGAACACACCAGAGGTCACACGAGCACACAGTAAGAAGGGTACAGCAAGCCAGGAAGAGGACTCAACAGAACCCCGTGCAGCCACCCTGACCTCGGACTGCCAGTCTTCAGAGCTGTGAGGAAATAAATTCTGGTCCTTTGTTTTTGCAGCACTGGGGACAGAACCTGGGGTCTCCCGCGTGCTAGGCAGTGCTCCACCACGGAGTACATCTCCACCCAATAAATTCTGCTCTCGGGGCACCCAGGCTGTGATCTTGTGATGTGGCAGCCCAGAGACTAAGCCACCCAGCCAAATCCTGCCTCGTCCGTCTCTCTTTGCCCATTCTCTCATCAACGGCCCGTCCAGTGCTTTGTCACCAACGGTCATTCTGTCAAGTCTGGAGAAGGTGTCACCGGACCAGGGCCCAGGGGAATTTTAAAAGGACAAGGAGCGAGCAATATTCCCTCATTCACTGTCTCCCTACTTCCCCAGGGTCCCTTGGCTACCCCTGTCCACTGAGAGCCGCAGGCTGAGCCTGCATGTTCAGGAGTCGGGAGGAGCCAGAGACCAAGCAGCCCTGTGACAGAGAGGACAGAGAGACAACCACAGCCTGTCCAGAACTGCCCTGCTGAGGGGAGATGTGGGAACGCGGTCTGGCAAGGTGGGAGAGATGAGGAGTTTCAAAGAAGCATGGTCTTCAAACTGGGCACTTGCCAGTCAGGCAGGGCACCACAAGCTGGGGAGCCCGCGACCTGCAGATGCTCAGCGCGAGCTCTCCCCGTCCTCTGACCTGCCTGAGACTGGCCTGTGACTGACCTTCACAGAAGGGGAGCACACCCCACATCCAGCCTAATCTTAAAATGGCTCATCTCATGGCCCACACCCCATCTGTGGGTGCTGAGGCAACAAGAGACAGAAGGACTGAGAGGAGCAAACCCGCAACTCAGGAGGTTCCCAATGCTCTGCTGTCACCCAGATTAAGGTGACCCGGTGAAGTTTCAAGCTGATGATGCATTAACGCAGTAAGTCCCAGTATCCAATTCTAACATGTCAATCAAAGTGACACAGGACCATTAAAATAGGATGGAAATCATAATCTAAAGCTTACCTATATTACTGCATTAAATCATAATTGTCATATTATTCTTCTTATAATTACACACTATACACCACACGTAAGTATAGAGAAAGGGGTGTATTCGGCTCCGAGTTCCAGGAATGAAAGCCCCACCTCAGCCAACGCCATCAGTTCAGGCCCTGGTGAGGCCTCTGGCTCCAGCCCCACAGGTGGCATCCAGCAGGAGTGCATGTGACAGAGGCACATCACCAAAGCCAGAGAGATTCAGGGAGCTCCAGATAACTCACTCGAGGAACCAGCATTAATCTCTTCAAGGGTGACGCCCCCCGTGACTTGATGACCTCCCTGGAGGACCCACCTCTTAAGGGATCCTCTCACCTTTCCCACCACCACTCTAGAGACCAAGCTTCCAACACAGGACCCTTGGGGGACTCTCTCAACCACGGGGAAACCTCAGCGACTGCTATTCACCCTTTATGCAATCAGGGCTCCTCGCACCATCATCAAGAAGCAGAACCGGAGTCACATGGCTCACCCCAGAAGCTCAGGAGGCTGAGGAGGAGGATCACAAGTTCAAAGCTAGCCTCAGCAGATTAGTGAGGTACTTAGCAACTCAGCAAGACCCTGTCTCTAAATGAAATATAAAAAAGGGCTGGGGATGTGGCTCAGTGGTTAAGTGCCCCTGGGTTCAATCCCTGGTAGCAAAAAAAAAAAAAAAAAGAATAAGAAAGTGGTGACAGTTGCACATTTTGGTCTGATATTAGTGAACTATACATTTAAAAGTAGTTAAGGGGCTGGGGATGTGGCTGAAGTGGTAGCGCACATGCCTAGCATGCGTGAGGCACTGGGTTTGATTCTCAGCACCACATAAAAGCAAAATAAAGATATTGTGTCCAACTAAAACTAAAAAAAATTTTAAAAATTAAAAAAATAAAAGTAGTTAAGATGACAAACTATGTTAGGTGTATTTTAACAATAAAAATTGGGGAAACATGTATAGTGCATGTGTGTTTGTGTAAGGGCTTGATGTGTATGTATACATATATATAAAATTAAAACACCAAGAAAAGGTATATTGTTGTATATGTATACTGTTGCATATACACATGATATGTGTGAGTATATACTTATACGTGTGCACTAAAAAAAGGAACCTCGCATCTGCAATTCAACAGCCTTTTTAGTCAATATTGATAATATTCTGTAAGATGTATCACAACTACTGAAACCTCCAGGTTTTAAACGTGGATCCTAAACTGTGTGAGGGGCGTGCATTTCACAAACTTCTCCTGGGGACAGCAAGCCAAGAATGAGGAGCTGGCCTCCAGCGGGCACTTAGGGTCCCAGGGCGGCGCTGAGCTGCAGGACCTCGAGTGACTGACAGGTCGGACCGCCGTCCCGCTAGGCTCCTTTCTGTCAAGCCCACTTGGCCTCCTGGCCCCAGTCACAGCGAAAACAAAAGTGTCTGTGCCCCCAGCGAGCAGTGTCACAGAAATCATCACCGCAGAAGCAGGAGAACCATGGCCTGCGCGCCCTCGGCTGGAGGCCCCAGGCTGGCTGGAGAAGCAGGAAAAGCGCACGGCCCCGGGCAGCAGGGCGCTGGGACAGGACGGACTGCAGCACCCTGCAGAGGAACCAGAGGAACCCAGCCAGAGGCCAAGGAGCAAAGAGCTCTCCCCTGGACCCAGTGACTTAACCTCTGGGCATTTATCCCGCCACCGTACCCCAGAAACATCAAACATCGTGCACTCAGGTTACTCACGGCGGCCTGACTCCCTCACCCTGGGACAGGGCTGGTTGAACACATCACCCTACACATTCACCACGGGGCACCCTGAAGGTATAAACACATGCGGAAATGCGCAACCTAGACACGTTTTAAAAACCGCTACAACGTATTAAAGTGGAAAAAGCCAAGATGCAGAAAATGTGTATGATAATTCTTTCATTTACAAAGAGGGGAAAACAAGAACATATTTGTGTGCCTTGATATTTATAAGTAGCAGGCATGGCAGTGCCCACCTGTCATCTCAGCAACTGGGGAGGCTGAGGCAGGAGGCGGCAAGCTGGAGGCCAGCCTGGGCAACTCACCAAGACCCTGTCTCAAAAATCAATTAAAATAAAATAAAAGGACTGGGGATGTGATTCAGTGGTAGAGCACTTGCTCTAACCCATGCTCGAGGCTCTGGGCTCAATCCCCAGAACTACAAAAAAAATTTAAATCACTCACACACAGAGCTCC